GTAATACACAGGTATGTTTTGGTGGATAATTGCTGCAATGAAAGGGTAAAAAGTAATACACAGGTATGTTTTGGTGGATAATTGCTGCAATGAAAGGGTAAAAAGTAATACACAGGTATGTTTTGGTGGATAATTGCTGCAATGAAAGGGTAAATAACTACACGAATATATCAGTACCAGCGTGAATAAAATGACTTTCTGCTCTAATGATTTCACATTTCATACAACATCTTTTTCACCACGTACACACGGACAAAGAATACAAACCTACACAAAAAAATACAAATATTTCGTATCTTTATCATCAAGATGAACCGAAATATGCCAAGTGCCAATAGCATCACATGTATAGAAGTTTTATAGAGATATAGAAGCCTAACTGGTTAAGAGGTCAATTCTTATTATAGTTTGTTCATGTTCATCTATCCAACGATAATGCTCAGCATATAAAGAAACGTTATGTAAACACCAAATATTAAATGTATTAGTTACTTCATAAAGGCTTACAAACAACTTACATCAGGAAGACATACATTTCTGAGTAAAAAATCTACAATTATTAGTCATAACATACAATTAACCAAATTACATTACAATACCATGTTGTTTTGGGAGACAATAAAACAAGCTTTTCTTTTCATGAAATTTTATAATTTCATATACATAATTTTTATACTTTTCCCTGAAATCATGTAAATACAAAATAAATGCTAAAGTTTAAAACATCAATGTGTCACAGCAATCTTTACTAAATAGTTATCTACAAAATTCAGTTTTGAATAGTTTTTGTTTGAGTTTACTTGCTGATTTTAAGTACTTTTACAAAATATAACTTTTACAGAACAGAAGAATTTTTTTTTAAACAGATACATTGTGATATTGTTGAATGTTGATTTTAATACAAAAACCTTTTTTTTACCATTAACACCTATGTATTTGAAAATTATCACATCAATGATCAAAATGTCATATATTCTTCTTTATTGTAAAAGTTGTAAATTTGAAGAAAAAAAAAATTCTTATAAAGATAGCTCACAGCAAAACTTGTGTTGACAAAACCTTTCAAGATCCAGTTCGAACTAGAGGAAGTTAAAGGAAGTCTCCTATTCTACTGTCTTTCTCATTTATAACGATTTAATGCATTGTATGTATTCGATGCTAAAACTTACCTAGTACAATACCACTGGCACGAGCAGGTGGTGGAGGAGGTAGTATATTAGGTGGTGGCGGTGGTGGAGCTTTTGTATAAGAGGGAATAGATGGTGCAGTCATGTGTGGAGGTGGAGGGGGTGGTGCCACAGCTGGAGGCCTCATTGGTGGAGGTGGTGGTGCTGGACGACTAGCAGAGGTCACTATCTTTGATGCTGTAGAAGTTGGTGGTGTAGACAATTTACCAGATGTATTTCTTGAATCTGACTGAAGGTGAAGTTGGTTCAAGTTATTAGGAACACTCTGGTTTCTTGGTGGAGGTGGTGGGGGAGCTTGGTTCTTCACATTTATAAGTCCCTGTTGAGATGCATTATAGTAATGTGAAGCAAGCCCATTCCTAACTTCTCGAGCCCCAAAACTCTGTCGTCTCATCAGACTTGGAGGTTTACTAGGTGGAGGAGGAGGACCCCTCTGATTCAACTGTGGACTTCTAGGAGGTGGTGGTGGACGTACAGAAGGTGGAGGCCGACGTGGTGCCTCCCTTCTTGTACTTTGATGTAAACTCGTACTTACTGTAGGAGGTTTCGTTGGTAGCGGAGGTCCCGAACGACTCTGTCCAACTAACAAATGAGGATTGGGTTTCTGACTAGCAGGAGGTGGTGCAGGAGGCGGGGCTCGAGTCGATGACAAATCACTTGGGAATTGTAATCTGCGGTTTAGTCCTGGTGCATAATGGTTGAGTTGGGCAACATTATTATTCACTGTATCAGAAGTAATTGCAGCCTGCCGAGATGAGGTGATAGGGCTAGGAGGCTGGGAATAGCTGATGCCAATTCGTTGAGTGAGATTTGACGTTGTACCTTGGACACTAGTACTTGGATTTGATCTTTCTCTAACAACTAAAGCAAAAACAAAAATCAGTTTTATAAACAAGGTTACAGCACTTGTTACTAACCTAATAGTGAATTCTTAAGTAAATACATAAATACATTACAAGCTGGAAAAAAATTTACACAGCTACTAAACCTACTTTGAAAATTATTTTCTAGATCTAGTTTTTATGTCTATTTAGCACACTTTCCTGAAGCATTGTCCTACAACAAAGTTCAAAAAGTGGAACAATTTGAAAATTAATAATTACCAGTTTTAAAACAATGTTACAGAAATATCAGCCAATGATGATTACTTACGTAATGCATAAGACTACCTGATCTGTTTTTAAAAATATAACTAAAAGACAGGTGTTACAGCCTTTGTAACAAGTTAACTGAAGATTCTTGGATATTAATAGATCAGGATATTGTCTCGATCGTAAGAGATTCATTTATACGCTTCTTTCATTGGAAACTTAAGAAAAGACTGTAAAAATGTTTTTTTTAATGGAAACTATTACACTCATTTGCATGTGTGCTAGGACTTCTAAGCTGCTATACAAAGCAGGAAATGAAAGTTCACTAATTCTTTGGGGGGTAAATATTAGATCCAATGTAGTCTTTTGAGCACAAAGTACAAGTATGCTTGTATACAACTAGTGACTTCATTAATTTGGGAATTTCATCCTTATAAGAAAAAACGACAAAAGACGATAATATCAAAAATACTTCTAAAAACGATTCTGTTGAAAGACTACTCAAAAATCAAACAAGTTCGTTTCTCAAGAGATCCTTCATCAAAGTAAGGCAGACCTAATGTAATGGCAAATTTTCTTGCACGGAAAGGATTTCTACAGATTGTTTTAGTTTATATACCAAGAAGCAACAACTTTTATCTTAATGCTAATACTAGATATGCCAAAAAAAATTATTTTTGGAAATAAAAAATAAATTTGCTCAAAAATGCAATTTCTGAACCCCACTTTTCCCAGCCACTTCAGGAAAGTATCCCTGACACCTCTTTAATAATGTAGTATACTTGCAACCCTTACTTAGTCAACCCCTGATAAAAACAGTTGATAAAAAGTCTACACTGATATGTATCTCGTCATTTTCAGGAATAATAGTACTTGCTTGAAAATTATATCTTGATGTAAAAGAAACCCTGATTTTTACTTTTATTACACTTCTGACTATTCTTGTTCTGGAGGAAAATGCACTTTGCATAACATGTTGTACGTGTATAACCAGTTCAGGACTCATCTAAAAAAATAACGAAGAAAGTACTTCCTTGAAACTAGTAGCACCAATAAAAATACATACACTCAGTACTGTCTTTTAGATGTTGAAACTAGTAGCACCAATAAAAATACATACACTCGGTACTGTCTTTTAGATGTTGAAACTAGTAGCACCAATAAAAATACATACACTCAGTACTGTCTTTTAGATGTTGAAACTAGTAGCACCAATAAAAATACATACACTCAGTACTGTCTTTTATATGTTGAAACTAGTAGCACCAATAAAAATACATACACTCGGTACTGTCTTAGATGTTGAAACTAGTAGCACCAATAAAAATACATACACTCGGTACTGTCTTAGATGTTGAAACTAGTAGCACCAATAAAAATACATACACTCGGTACTGTCTT